ACTCGTAATAACCTTATACATCTTTTCCTTCCAAGGATAAAGGATACATCATGGGAATGCAGAAATCCTAAATGTTTAGAACAGAATCAGCGAACTTCTTTATGTGAAGTCCAGTTAAACCCTGGTGGCAGTCATGTTTGTTTTTATTATTAGAGGACGCTTTCGAACGTAATCATTCCATATATGGAATTCGCACTACCACAAAATTATGGCATGCTGTAACTTATGGCGTTACAGATGTATAATAATACCGGTACTCAATTATTAGCTAGGTTTTACTTTTGCTTATTTCACTGATAGCTAAATGCACTGAACAAAAATCTAGTGAATATGCAAAGTTACAACAGAATATATTGTTTCCCTCACAAATAATAAATTTATGATTTATTATGCACAAAAGTTTCAGTAAAATGTATTTGAGATGGTCCCTTAAAAAAGTAATTGGAATACAGCAGTAAAGTACATACTATGTAGAGTACATACTTACAACTTGTTAACAGTAAGTGTCAACAAAGCATGCAAACACAAAATATCAGGTTTCTATCTAAGTCAACAACATTTAGTAAAAGGGTTGACCCCTTGACCTCAATTCACTTGTAATTTCAATAAGTATTCAAATAAAAGAAACTTAGTAATTAGCAGACTAAAAAAGTTTGTTAAAATTTAATAATGTGAGTACCTCCTGGAAAACATTTCATGAAAGTCACTGTCACTCCCAACATGCTAGACGAGCCAAGTTGAAATTATGACTGCTACCAAATTTTGGAATATTTTTCGGCTCGCAAATTTTGCCAAAAACAGTTTAAAATATTGGCTCCCGGTTTTCGACCTCTAAAGTATATGAGGGTTATGATAAGTCTAACCAACAGAATGGTATTTGCTTTAAACTTTTCAATAATGATTTGATTATCTTTTACCTTCCATCTACACAATCTATATTTCAAACCATTAGTATTTATTTAATTTCCTTTTGTTACTGGTGAAATAAAATTTCAATTTCAATTTAAAAAAAAAAAAAACATGCACAATCATGGTTAAGGATCTATGTGACTCAGTTTATGGCTCACTTGACTGATTTTGGAAGCCAAAATTTATGTTTTAGCATATTTCTCTGACATCACTTAAGACACCTGTAGATTGTGGATATGCGCAAACTTTTAATGAGACAAGTGAAGTCTATGTTGTTACCAAACATATACATGTAATACAAGTACTGCAAACAAACCAGACCAGGATACTACGTACAGTACAGCCAAGGAGTGACTTAACTTCCACGCTTGCTGTCTGCTGGCTTTTCTTTTTCATAAAACCTATTTCAAATGAGTATCATTGACACCAATAATTTAAACTTACTCTTTGTTCTATTTACATATGTTACTCAGGGGTTACTAGAAAAAATAAACAAGAGGGAGCACACACGATCGACCTGGAAACGCCATGATATCGGAAGGTTTCTGCGCCGTTTTAATGGTGTATCTATCGCCATTGAAATATTTTTGGAGTAATTTTAGTGTATTTGTCAGCTGGGAAGTTTTCATGAAGAAAAATATATTTGGGGGAGTTTTCATGAAAAAAAACATATTTAAGAAAGATTTCATGTTGTTTCATTTCATATTTATGACTTGAAAGTTCAATCGTCAATTCAGTAAGAGAGCGCCAGCCGAGAGTATCAGGGCGCTGCGCCCCTGTTCCCCGGCTAAGAAAAAACTCTGTTACTAATATGACAATTTTTTAGGCAGAGTAAGATTTGAAATCAAGCTAAAAGCTAGCTAAATGTTAAGTTATTCTTAGAGTGTACTGTATCTGCCCACAGCACTCCTTAAATCTTAACCGCATGAAAAAGACAATTAAAAAGACTATTAAACATGTCTCTTTAGTCCCTATTGTAACTGAGCAACAACCATTGTCAGGATTTCAAAATCACTCTCATACCAAAAAACAATGGACAAAATCGATTGGTTACATATACTGATCAAACAAATAAATGTTATTGCCATGCGTGAAAAGTTGCTGTGTGAATGGCTTTAGTTTGGTCAGTCTTTTTCTGACTCCTAACACCATGAACGGAATGTACTCTCAAAATTCAACAGACAAACTTGTCATCAACAGGAAAAACACAAAACAAGGTAGTCATGCTGAGAAACATTTATCAAACATCACAGAAAACAAGACAATAAATGTTCTAGATGTGAAAGCACATGTAACACAATTACAAATCACAATTCTGCACTCCAACGGGTTTCATGTACTATGCGCCAATGCACGAGTACAAAGAATGCGGCCGACGTCAGCAGCGTTCGTTACCATCAAAACAGACACAGCCCAACAACAAATACCTCAGGTATTTAAGCTAGTTCTTTGTGTGCGTTCACAAAGGATAACAAAAAATATTATCCTGAATTTTCAGAAACTAATTCAGATATATTGGTATTATGTATGTTTAGTGTGGCAATTGTAGGAGTAAGTAATCTAACCTACGGCACTACTATAAATAAATTTGTCAGTTTAATGAAAACCTCCGTCTATAAGCAATAGAAAGAAAGTTTTGCAAGCAAAGCGACTTTAGTGAAAACAATTGTGTTTTTGTTTTTTTATTTTATTTTAATTTTAAAAATTTCTTAAAACCTCACAATTTGATTAAAAGTGTAATTTTGTTAATTTGTTAAGCATGATAAAAGACGGAGACACTTGTGTGAAGTGTCAATATTTACAAACTGTTCACTATGTGTTTCCTTTCACTTTAAACCAGCTCTCACCATTCTGCTGGCCCACAAAAACTAGAAAGAAAATATTTTTACAATTATTTACACCTTAGCGTCGTTGACATCAGAAGCAGTAACAATAAATCATGGGACTGAAAAAAGAATCATGTACTGAAAACATATGATCACACGGACACTATAAGCCTTGAGTAAAAATTGTTTTTGTTGGCATTTCAGTTATTTATTTCAGTGGCGTATCTCCCATTAAAATAAGGCTACCTACAGGAAATGATATAAAACGATATGGTTATCATGAGAAATCATAGTGAAATACTGTAAAATACTTTACCCCCGGTATTTTCGCTTGGAATTAATTTTCACTATTTTCACTGAAGGAATGACTCAGTGAAAATAAAATCCAGTGAATATACCTTTTTTCCTATATTTTACATTCAACTCGTCAAAAATCAGTAAAAAATAAATTTCATACAAAACACCCAAAAAGTCTTTTCAGCGAAACTAATTCCAGCTAAAATAAAGTATTTTACAGTATATTTCAAGAGACTATAATATAATAATAAGCATTCAGGTAACAAAAAAAACATCTAAAATCACGATGAAAAAAAACAAGGGCACATGTTCACCAATATGGCTAATTATTATTGCTGTAACCTTAAAAATTTTCACTTTAGGATGCCTTTACATCTGACATCTGAATAAGTACAACGCCTACACGCTTCATGGTATATTATAAAGTCCATTATTAAACTGCCAAAAGGCCATGACCTGTTACCCCGGTAAATTCTAAAGTCAGAGAATACCTAGCAATCAGTATTGATTTCACAGTAACACAAATGCCTAATCCAGTATATGGCATCTATGAACATTGTTACTTTGATAATAAGAACACATTGAGATGTCAGTAAGGTGCTATAGACATGTAACAATGGGGTGTTTACTGTTCTATGCAATAGCATATAAAATACTTAAAGATGAGGAATCACATGAATGTTATCATGTATACACAAAAAAATGTCAATCGATTTGATGTAATGTCAAATGACATACTACCTGATCATTTTATGTGAGTTGTACCATCATATATATTCATTCCCATGGGTGTTTCAATAGAAAATGTATATAAGTGAGAATTGCACAATTGAATCCCTATTTTCACTTGACTGATTCTAAACGAGAATGCAGAAAATCATTTTCTTTCATTTGAAACAATATATACACACATGCCACAGTGGCAGGCATTGTAACTATGTTAGTTCAAATGGTAGTAGCAAAGGACATATACTTCAACAGGTGGCCATTATTCAAGATTTAGTTTAGATTTGCATGTGTTCAATAGCTGAGATTTTAAATCGTTGCCAGTCTCCAATGATAAATTACTTTAATTAGATTTTGCTAAATTTCACTCAGCTCCAACAATAGATTCTAGCCACTCATTAAAACCTGTACAGACTTGTTTAAATCTAACATATGTCTTTCTTTCTTGCGTCATATACAAACACTTTTCTTTGTTTATCAAATACAGCAACAATGTAATGCAATAAAAATAGAATTCTGTCACTAAGCACAAGCAAAAGCATAGACGCAAATCCGGTAAAATCTTTTAAGCTGGCATTTCAGGCAATTAAAAATTTACTGGAATTAGGAAAAGTTGTATAATATTAATAACAAGTCATTGAAAATGACACAGTCCCCGTTAAGTTCTCTTTGTGCTCGTTACATTAAAGCGGAGGGGTTGTCGCGAGCGTGTCCTTGAAACTTGAGTTCCAAGTGGCGTATACAACAGATTGTTTCTTTACATCAAAACA